GTCGTGTGTGTGATTTCTCTTTCTGCCTGGCTCCTGGGTTTGTAGGGACACTGTCTGCTCTGTGGTACAGAGTCCTGATCAGAGTCCTGTGCCCCGGCACAAACAGAGCAATATTGTATATGCTGTTAAGTGCCAGGAGGAGTTGGGGGCCTCCATTTTCAGCTGTCCCCCTCCCACAGCGCTGCCATTGGCAGTATCACTCCACCCCCTGTTAACAATAGGTATTAATTAGGTGTGAACGATAGCCATGTGATGTGAGTATCAGTCACCTGGAGGCAGGGCTTAAAAGCCTGAATTTTGCCTGAAACTCTCAGACTGAAGAAGTCTCTTGGAGGAGAGACGAAACGTTTCATTAAAGAACCCGTCCAGAAGACCGATACTATTTTTTTCTTTTTGTCTTCTGAACGTATATTTTTAATTCATCAGTGGTTTTAGTGAACAATGCTGCAGATGATGCATGTTTTTGTGTTTACCCTCGAACACTGTTCACACTGATTCTGTGCATCATCACAGATTGTGACAACAGCTACAGAAGCTGTAAATTCACCACCAACCTCCTCGATCAAATCTCAAGTTGTTTTTTTGAACCAGTTAACTCGAATAAGTCTTAAAATAAGACCATGAGTGGTGCATTTCCTCTGTGGTGTGTTGCTGCTGCTCCAGCAGCAGGTGATGCAGCATCGCTCTGCTTTTTCTTGAAGGAGGGTCTAATGGTACTTTCCTGCTTTGCAGAGGTTCAGTGGACCAATTACAGCAAATCCCCTCTCACCACTGATTACTTTCAAACAAACAAACAAAATGTAATGTGACTTGACGTGAATGTAACTTGTACTTCATCACATTACAGAAATGTAGTGGAATAGAAAGTACAGAAACTTAAAGTAAAATGTAGTGGAGTAAAAGTAAAAAGTACCTATAATGAAATCTACTTAAGTAAAGTACAGAACAACAATGTACTTATACTTTGTTACATCCCACCACTGATTACATGGCTGTTGAACTGGTGGCCTGCAGGCCATTGTTTCTACTTGAATATAAAAATAGATTTTGAATTAATGATTCAATGCAAATAAATAAACTAATTTACAAAACCAAATATAATAATTCTTGTTCTGTTAAATAATAAACTAACATGTTAGTCTGAGCAATCCAAACAGTACCAATACAAAGTACAGACTTGTACTTACCTAATACTGGGTACTTGCATTATGCTTACCAGGTTCGTATCCAGTATTTATGTACTTGGTACATACAAGATACAGACTTGTAGTAAATGTACCTGGTATTTAAAAGATAGTAAATGGTACTTATTTGCAGGGGTCTAATAAGTACTTGGAAAAAGATAACTAAGTAAAAGTAAAAACACCTTAACAGTAAAGTACTTTGGTTAAAGAAATAATTTTCACTGATTAGAAAACTACTTAAAAGTCATAAAACTTAACAGAAATTAGAAAAGTAAAAGTACTTCTACACACTAAGAAACTTGAATTTACTGAACCAATCTGGTTCCAGTAAATAAAGTAGAGAAAATATGTATATTGCTTCATATTTACTCAGGTTTAGTGGAACCAGTTGGCAGGACTTGGTTCATTAAATCCAACACTTCATCTTTTAGCTCAGTGGTTCCCAAACTTTTTATCTTCTGACCCACAAAATATCCATGGCAAAAACTTGACCCCAAATATTACTGGTCTGAGTACACGAACTTCGTTAATAACCCTAAAAACACAGGCTTTTTGACATTCTAAACAGGTTGTACACAAATATAAATACTTATTTACTTATTTTGTGTTTTTGTAATAGCTATAGGGAAAATATTACATCAGCAATTATTTTATTACCCTTTAAATTGATTTCTGGAGATTATCCAAGGTGCTTGATGACCCATAATTGGGTCCCAAGTCCAACTTTGGGAACCAAAGTGCACTGGTTCCCAAACTTTTCAGCTTTTGACCCACAAAATAACAGTAGAGACCTGAGCCCCCAGCTGTTTTTGTATGATAAACATTTGTATCAGGTCAACTAAATATGGACAAAATTAAAATATTTATTATACTACATTTATCCATTTTAAATACACTAACCTCACTCCTTTGTAACAACTAAGGCAAAAATGTTCCGAAAAATTCCGAACATCTTTTCAGGACCCCACCTTGATGTTTCGGGACCCCACTTTGGGTCCCGACCCCAACTTTGGGAAACACTGTTTTAGAGCACAGAAACAACTGTTTTCATGATGACTTCAGACAATTTTATATTAACTAGTTGTGAACTTTTAAAGTAACAGTAAAGGTTTGTTTAGGGTTTTAATGTAACCAAATAAAATAACTTAAAAAAATACTTGGTAAAATTACAAATCCTCAAAAGAAATTACTTAGGTAACAAAGTAAATGTACTCAGTTACTATACCTCTGCTTATTTGGTACATATCTCTTAGTGGACACTCTTGTAAATGAGATTTTTAATCTGAATGAGTTTCTCCTGATAAACTAAAGAATAAACAGAACAATATGTACCTGGTACTTATTTACTGGGTACTAAGCTTTACTTGGTACTTACCAAATATGTAAAAAGACACTTGTTGTTTTACATAATGTAGTCTTACTGGGTCCAGTAGTTTTAAATCTCTGCCATGTGAGCTTTACATAAATATTAGTGATGGAGTCCAGGAATCACAAAGAAAACTTAAAAGCAGACAGGTTGGTGAGTTTTAGTTAAAAAATCATTCAGACAATATTTGAACTGTAAAAAACTATAAATTTATTAAATATTTTAAAAACTAAAGTGTTGTAAACTCCTGCTAAACGTAAAAAACTTAATATTTTGGCTTCACGTTGTGTTCAAGGCTCAGTCTTGGACAGACACAGAAGTCCTGGTAGCCTCCAGCGACGAGTCGTGCTCTGGGTCCTCAGGTCCAGCCAGTCCTGCTGGGCTGCACCCAGTGCCTCACTGAAACCACAGAACCAGATTAACCGGACCTCATCACAACCCGACAGCACACAGAACCAGCAGGTGCTCCAAGCAGAGCTACAAACATGAAATCAAAGTGAACCTTGGAGCCAGATAGGGCTCTGCAGGGCTGGACGGGTCCACTGATGGGAGGTCAGAGGTCACGAAGGAGGGATCAGGATCTTCTCCTTCCACAAAACCAAGGTAGGTTATATTACTGCCCACCACAGCATCGATGCTGTCCCTGCTCCTGCTGCTTGGACCTGGGACACACACACACACACACACACACACACAGTGTCAACAAGAAGAAGGAGTAGTGATGACATGCAGAGACCCTGAAACATCAGGAAGGAGCAGCAGGAGAAAAACCCGGAGCTGACAGAGGAACTACAGAAGCTGTGGAGAGTCAGAGTGTCAGTGGACCCAGTGGTCCAACAGATCCCAGGAAGAACCTCAGAGATCTTTGTCCACAAGAGGCCAGACCTAGGCTGTGTCCAAAATGACAGGCCGGGTCCTCCGGAGGACCCAGACTACCCAGTCGAGGCGGGCCGGGTCCTTGGGTCCGGAAGACGGGAAAAAAAAAGAGGCTGTGAATTTGGACGGTCTAGCCTCCCCTCCACCCCGGCGAGCAACCACGACGACGCTAAACAGAAGCAAAATTAGATCAAAATTACAAAAATATCAACACATTAGCATTATTAATATCACAAAACAATAAAATTAGCTTAAAAGTATCATTTGAAGAACTAATTGACCCGCTGTAGGTTCATGTTTATTTCGCCTTTTTTTATGACAAAAATAATATTTAAAAACACGTCCATACAAATGATAAAAGTATTAGAATTACAACCACTAAAATTTTTAATTTTTATTTCGCCATATTTTTATTAAAAACATATTCTTTTGTCTCGCTTCGTCCGCCATTACTAGCTTAAAAAAATCTCCGGTCGGGCAGCAATGCATTATGGGATACGCTGGGCCAGGAAGGATCCATCAGACCTGTCCTTCGATTCGGGCCAAAGGAAGGACGTATTTGTCGGC